CATTCATACCAATGTTTGTACTAACGTTCATACAAACGTTTGTACTAACGTTTGTACTTATGTACTGTTCGTACTAACATTCGTACTAACATTTGTACTAAATGTTTGTACTAACGTTCGTACTAACATTCGTACTTACATTCATACTAACGTTCGTACTAACATTTGTACTTACGTTCATACTAACGTTCATACTTACGTTTGTACTTACGTTCATACTAATGTTCGTACCTACGTTTGTACTAACGTTCGTACTAATGTTTTTATATACCAGATACGTTCATACTAACGTTCGTACATACGTTCGTACTAACATTCGTACTAAAGTTGAAATTTTTGCAAGAAAAAAAACATTTATTTTTAAGTTTTTTTAAGTTTTTTTTTAAAAATTTAAACTTTTATTTATTTATTACAATTAACGATATATGAATATTAATGTCAACGTTTATACAAACGTTAATACTAATGTTCATACGAATATTAATACTAGTTCGTATGAACTTTAGTATTAATGTTAATACTAACGTTTGTACAAATGTTGATACAAAGAAATATCTGACAAAAAAAAAACAACAAAAGATACATCAAAGAATAACAGAAGAAGCACCAAAGAACGACGGAAGAAGCACCAAAAGAATGATGAAAGAAGCACAAAAAAGATGACGAAAAAAGCGTCAAAAGAAGCACAAAAAAGATGACGAAAAAAACGTCGAAAGAATAATAAAAAAGGCACCGAAAAAACGGCCAAAAAGACACTGAAAGAATGACGAAAAGGCTTCGAAAAGAAAACGAAAGAAGCACCGAAAGAACATCAAAAGAAGCAGTGAAAGAACGTTGAAAAAAGCACTAAAAGAATGACAAAAAAGCATCGAAGGAACAATGTAAAAAGCATTGAAAGAACGCATACAAAACATCCAAAAAAGAACATAAAACATACCTAAAGAAACCATGCAAAGGACACCAAAAGAACATCATAAAAGTTACCAAAAGAATGACGTAAAAAGCACCAAAAGAATGACGAAAGAATGACGAAAAAAAAAAATGTAAACCGATATTTTGTAATAACACGATTTACTGACGGTCTAGGGAAAATCGGGCACCAGAGACAGACCGGAAATGATCTGCAGCTCAGAATTTCCTTGACATAAGGGCACCCTCATAATTGCGATTATGGCATTGCGTTCACACTTATATGTTAACCATATAATAGATGTGGTTGCCGGGATTGAATGATAAAAACAGCGGAGATAATTTCTAAATACATTAAACAATTAAACAGACAGTGGGTGTTACACAGAGTTGTTACACAATTGATAACGAATTCTTTTATATTATTTTACAATACTTTTTTATCGATCAATCATGTTACGCTGTTTTGATTGGTCCAAACAATGAGAATTTGGCATGAAAATCACTTCCATATACATTCTAAATATATACACACATGACATGCGTGTACAAATGCACACATAGTAAGTTTATTATTTAAATCTTCAACAGTCATTGCGCATTTACTGTATGTACATCATACGTTTCATTGTAAATTTAAATTTAGTTATCCAGGACTTACCGCAATTGTTATTAATGTTAATGTTTGCTCACATTTTCGGTATGCTTGTGGTCGTGCTAAGAGAGTTGGGTACACGTTTAGGCTGCCGTCAATAGAAAATCAAGTACGGCGCAAACGAAAAAACTATTTTCGGCAAAATTTAATTATAATTTATTTCCATTTATGCAAGTCCATAAGTCCATTCCCTTTTTGCTGATAAATTTAGACCTAAACGTTTGATGATGACGATGGCGATGGCGATGACGATGACGATAAGACATGAAAAAAAGTTTAAATCTTAAAAAGGCTAGCTACTTTTTTTTTTTTTATTAACGAGATGAACGTGAACGTTATCATGGTAGTACGAGGACGAGGTGAATTTACATTTAAAACGTCTGATATCCTAAGAATTATTAATGAGATAGACGTAGGCGTTTTCATTGGTAGTACAAAGGGTTCTCTCACAGCAAAACCGTGCTTAGACTCTCGGTATGCGAAAGAACATACAAACCTCCTATGTGAATCATAAGCGCATAGATACATGTAACACACATTTCATATGATCATGTGAATTTTTTTGCCATGATATTTTTCACATGAAATTACTAGCATCATTATTGAACATATGTACGTACATACGACAAATAGCAGGAAATTTTTTTTTCAACGGAGTTAATTTCACTCATGTGCTGCAGGGACACGGAAATTATGTGATTAAACAAAAACACACTAAATCACATAATTTTGCTTCACTTATATTACGTTTTAAAATGTATAATAATATTTATTACTGTATTACGACAAAAAAATTACAACTTCGGATGAAAGGTTGCAATCTTCTAACTCTAGTAAACTATTATGACAGGCAACTTTATAAAACACAATTAACTAATTCTTAAAAAGGATTGAAAAACATAAACTTATTATTTGAGCAATTGATTTGCACCAACCAATTAAACAAAAAATGTATTTTTTATATTATTAGTATCTAATGTATTATTGTATAGTATAACAAGCCTCATGCGCTAGGTATTTTGATTAAAGTCGTTGGTGAATTCTTGAAGAGTACTTGTATAATTATTTGAGGTGAAAAAGTAAATATATAGCCTTTGTTTAGTCCCGAAGGATCATTTTGTTATATCAATATTAATTTGAAATTATTTTAGGTAGATGTATAAAAAGAGATGCAAATCGCTCTATTGATTAATTAATTTATTATAATTAATATATAAGCTATATGTATAAAATTAGCTTACTTTTAAATTCAGTTTCAGGACCTAAGAAGATTTGAGGATTTGAACTGTTTAAAATAGTTAATCATTAATCGTTCAAAAACAGCAAGTCAAAATATGTAAATAATTCATAAATCAAAATTTTGACTATAAAATTGTCTCCTGCGTACTAATAAAAAGGGTTCATTGCCAAAATTTAGTACAATTATAGCCTTCTAACCCTAACTTATCAGAAGATTCCGATCCTAATCTAATAGTAAATTTTTTTTATTGTCCTATAATCAAATAATATGCGATTGGTATTAGTATCGTGCACTTGCAACTTCATGCACCTTAAATTATATTTGCCTAAAAATTACCAGCTAATGCTTATAGGATCTAATTTCAGGTACTAATAAGTTGTAACTTTAGACGATATAATTATATATTAAATCTATTAAACAGATATTAACATGATAAAATTCACGATCTTTATTGATTATTTGAATTTGAAACACGTAACCTAAAAGTAAAGAATGATACTAAAAACACACCACGGTACTTAGCATCACATATTAATTTTACTATGAACATTAGAGCTAGAGGGTGCTCTTATAGGCTAAGATAGATATAATAATTTAAATTATATTACATAAGATTTCTGGAATTCTGATTATTTTTACTTAGAACACCCAGCTTAAACTACTGAGTTTTTGAAATATAGCAACAGTGTTTTCAAACACCAGTGAGGTGATTTATTATTGCACAAAGTAAAGATTTGCCGAGTTGGTGGCGCAGTATCAGCACAGTAATTTGCGTTCTAAATTCTGCGTGATTATATATGTCATTATTGGAAGTTTCTGTTAATCTGTTTAATAATAATTTTGACATTAAAATCTCAAAAAAGTGATCCAAAAAAAAACTTTAAAATCATAATAAAATGTATAGGTCAAAATTTTCACATCAGCGAAACCCACCCATTTGATATCTTAAGTTGTGAAGTTCTGCGTTAAAACGCACATTTAGGCTATTTAGTTCATTATCACGTATTTCGATTTCACAATCTAACCGAGCCACTTCATTAATGTTCACTTCATTTAGAAAATACTCTCTTTTATCTTTCAAAGTCTTTACTTCATTAAGAAGCGTTTCTATTTTATCCTTTAAAGTCATTACTCTGTCGATCTTATTGTGAAGATCTATCTTCTCTTCGCGGAACTTCTCTATACACAAGGCCGCTATGTAGGATAAATCGATAAATAATAAATTAGTAAAGGTTATTGTTATTTATCCTATTCGATTACAATCACATTATTCATTTCATTAAGTCAGCTAATGAATTATATGTACAGTATAAGGTTCCGTAATCAAATTACTCTTATCACATATACGCAATGATGCATGTTGATTGGTTACACGGCCAAGAATTCGTTACACGAAATGAGTATAAGCAAACCAGCAAAACACGATTGTAACCAAATGAAACAAATGTTGGATATTACATTACCATTTAGCAATATGTCTGCCTTTGAAGGATTTTCCGTTGCATAAGATGTGTTTGAGAGAGTATCGTCTAGAATTTTGTAGTGAGCATTGAGTTTATCGCGTCCTTTCTGGGACGAAACTTTAGCGCGTTCTTTACGAATGTGTTCGCTGTAATTATTCGAGAATGAATAATTGTATTAATATTATTAAAATATCAAAAGACATTAATTGTGGCAGATTAAATCAAAATAGACAAGCCATCGAAAAATCCAAAATTTTTGAGTGCATTTTTTTTGGCATTTTTTTTTTTAGGGTTAGGGATTAGGATAAATAGAAACTCTAAATTTCATTTTAGTCCGATTTCATTATAATCCGTGACATTAATTTATCTCAACGTTGTAACGTCAGAGTGAAACCCGCGCAGAAATAGTTACATTATTGATGCAAATCCTATCTATTAAGTTAAGTATAGATCTGCATCAAGAAAGTTATCACCTCTGCGCGGATTTCGCCCTTTCATATTATAATTTTCTTCAAAAGCTCATCCCGAAATTTTATAATAATAAAATTTTCTTGAAGATTTGCAAAACTACCGACTGATCATCAGTTTAATTTGCATGGTTAAGATCCTTCAGACTCGGTACGTTCAAAGTTTACTATAACTATACCTGGATTGTTCGTAATTTTCCATGTATATAGTTTTTTTTACGTTTTTTGATAGACAGGAAGAAATGGCCAACGATTTTATACTGAAATCTGAAAAATTAATATATGTATATATACGTATATATATAAACACTGGACTAAATGCATTTTAAACAACAATCTTTGTTCGTACTTTGTTCGTACTACCATGAAAACGTCATTTTTTTTTTTTTTTAAGTTATCCGACAAACTCTTTTGATCAACTTTATTTCTGCTGTTATTTTTTTTAATGTGTTACGAAATATTTACATTTACTTGAATTAAGGGTAGGGTCTTTGTGTTATGTTACACAAGTATAATTTAATGCAGATCATCGGATGTTAGCTTTTTCAAAGAAAGTACAAACTCGTGATCTTTAACGATATTAACCAATAGCTTAACATCATTAAAAAAAAAGGAGTTTCCGATTATTCAATAGTATGTGCGTTTAAACAATGTATTACTTTTCGTTAAAAGCCGATTTGTAACGAAGGTTTGTTCAAATTAAATAGAAATTGCTTTGCGCATGGGGTTCTAAAAATGCGCATGCCAAGTAAACTTTACTGAAAGAGTAAATTTATTCCTCACCCAGGGTGAGATTTGATATTGCTCACCCCTCTATAACAAAATTTGAAAAAATGCCAACCCTAACCTTAATTTTAACCCTAATATATTAACATGACTGGGGTGAGTAACTCACCCGGGTGAAACAGCAGGGACAGTTAAATGATTGGTTATCCTGAGTCAGCAATTACGTCGATCAAAACATGACCATCAGCCAATCAAATCAAATCA